GATTCTATCCCCCACATAAACAAGCAGTGACGTCATAGTGAAATAGGGCAATTGGTTGGTGGTGTATCCAAAGATTAGCATTATTGATGGTTATGTGAATATGATAGTTATGAGCAGTAGTGATGGTGATAATAGGTGTGTTGATAATGATAGGTTATGACATTGGAGAATAGCTTGGTATATATATGTATTTTAGGGGTATTGGTGGTATTGGCAATGATAAATGAGGTTAAGGGGCTGGTACAACATGTCTGTGTATTAAATGATCAGTGTTGTTTGGTGTTAGTTGCATTGATAATGATGATAATGTTGCTTCTTAGGCCCCGTCCACACTATGCTGGATAAATTTGAATCCGAATTTTTATTTATTCGGTTCCATTTCGAAAATTCGTTTTCAGTGAATAATTGTTCCGGATTCRCCCAGACTAGTGTGGACGGTAGGCCTTACCGAATGAATAAAAATTCAGATTCAAATTTATCAGGCATAGTTTGGACGGGGCCTTGATAACTCAATATATAACAAACTCATTTTAATTAGTAATTCTGCATGTTAAATGTAATATTTTCTTACCCATTACATAAAATAGGTAACTTTGCAGTATGGGGTGGACTTTTCTCTACATTTGATTGTTGTTTAATGGGACTCAGAGGCAAGGAAGATCCATGGAATTCTATTGGCAGTGGAGCTATTACTGGTGCAGTTCTAGCAGCTAGAGGTATGAGACATAACAAAAATATGCTTGAATAAACATGACTATGATCTTTAGAAGCATGTACCATGAGTCTCTAGCAGTCACATAAAACTTTCCCTGAATTCCTAACAAAAAAATTCTGAGAAAACTATTCTTAGAGAAAACTCCAGAATGATCTTTAAATACTGATGACGGGCCCTCATTATTTTAAGCCCTGCCATTAGTCGTATTCAATATACTCTTGGAATATAGATTAAATAAATGTATTATTGTTTGGTAATTAGGTGGTCCTTCGGCAGCTTTACGATCAGCAGCTATTGGTGCTGTACTATTAGCCTTGATAGAAGGTGTAGGGATCTGTATAACAAGAATGACGGCTGATCAGTTTAAACAAGGTATGTTAATATACTCTACCCTACCATTATCACAGAATCCAGGTCTGATCACAAATTCATTTAATGACTAGAGTAATTTGGCTTATCGCCCATGTAATAATCACAGCTGACATCTGATGGTTCCCTTGGTTCTCCCAGTAGAACCACGAGAACCAGTGTAATAGACAATTGCACAACTCAAAACTCTATGTGAATGGTTGAAAAGGTTCCTAGTACCCACCTCCCTCAAGGGCAGCCATAACAGTGATGTCAGCTTTGTTTATTACACCATAACAACAACCCTGTCATTTTGACTTCCAAGTGGTTGATTACAGACAGTGGAACTTACAATCAACTGCTTAGGCCAGTCCTCTTCACCGGGCACGTTGATCATTCCAGTATGCCCAGTGGTCATGTCAGGTCATTTAGTAGCTATTATTTTTAGCCCTAGTGTACTAAAATACTAATAAGTACTGTACATACATGTTATATTTAAATATTCCTTTCTCATTTTCCAGTGATGCCACAACCTCCAGATCCAATGCAGTTACCACCAAAACCAATCAACCCATCACCTCAACCTTTATCAACACCTGAGTTTGAACAACAACCACAATTTCATTAACTACAGTACATACATGCACTATCTATAATGCCTAAATCTTAAAACCAAGGTAGGACCACATCGAGACATTGATTCCAAGATTTGGGCATTGGTTATATTGCTGTACATGTTGTATGTAAGAGGTAAATGCACTTGTACAAATGGCATGTCAAGGCTGGGCTCAGGTTCAAGCTGGTGGTGTTGATGTGTAATGGAAAGAATGAAAACTGAATGAGGAATGATATTTTTGTGGTGGTGTTGATGTGGCAAGGAAAGAATGAAGAAAAAGGGATGATATTACTGTATAACAGGCATACAGTGGAATAAGAAGTTTCCTCCTTTTCTTAAATGAATTCTAAATTCCTCCTAAAGGAATGTTTCCATGATATTTTATCATCAAGCTTCTTTAATGCATAAATGAGAATTCAATGTGCAAAATAATGTCAACTTTAAACTACACAAAGTATTTCTTGCTATTAATATTTAAACATCAAGTGTGACTGATATACAGTTACATGTAATTGTACAAAATATGAAAGCTATAAACAGGACAGGAGGAAATGTTTATAAACTTTAAGAAAAATAAATTCTCATGGTACATGCTATAACCATTTTCTTAATTATACAATTCAGACAGGTATATGTAGTGATAATTCGAAATGTCTGGGCTATTGACTTCTGTCAATCAATTTTGCAATGGTCCAATTGATTGACAGAATGGGACTAGTGTATATTGCATAGGAGGTGATCGTACAGTCAGCTGCTTAAGTATCGAACGCTATTATTCATTTACAATGTGAAACAAGATTTGATTGTATCATACTTCACATGTTTTATTTAAATTGAAAAATGTGAGGATTTTGTATGAAAGAAACATTAAAATATTCCTTTGTTCTATGATACTAAAAGGCTACTAATCAACAGTAATAATTATGCTCTATATAAATAAATAATCACTGTTTTCTTGAAGAGTATTATATTTTGTAATGATTTTTTCGATTGCAAATTTGTACACTTCTAAGATTCACTTTCATTTGGTAAAGACAATGTTTTGTGAGGTTTTATGATCTCTACATATTTTAACATTTAAATTGTAAATTGAAAAGGTTAGAAATACTAGCAAAAGGGAATGTCAAGTACTGAAATTTCATGATAGAGGGAAATTCCATGTACTTACTATTTAAGTAAATGGTTTATATTTTCACCATAATGCAAACCATACAGTACAGTATATCTGTGAAATAGCACAAAACCTAAATAGCACCAAACACATTTTTTTTCCAGTTGTTTCCTTGGTGTTATTTTGTATTATTTTGTACTATTACTTGGTTTTATCATAGCAATTTTTTTGTACTACTAGTTAGTACTATTTTACGGACATGGTTTGCACTCTATAATATCCAAGAGTTGCAGAATCATCTTATTTTAATCACTACTTTTCCAGTGGACTTTTTTTGCAGGAGAAATTGTATGGCTTCATTAACCTACAAATGAAGAGAAGAAGAACTAAGAGAGAAAAAAAATGAAAATGGACACAATCATCTTAYATGAAAAGAATGACACAGTGGTGACAAGTTATGTTCAACTGTGATTTTTTGGTAGTAAACCAGCTACTGCAAGATCTAAGAGTAACGTGGGTTGAGCAAAGGAACTGGTTTGTCTTCTTCTTCAGGAACCTTGTTATCATAATTCAAGATGGAAACAGCTGGTCAACAAGTCATATCCTACTGCAAGATCTAAGAATAACAAGGGTTGAGCAAAAGCACTGGTTTGTCTTCTTCAGGAACCTTGTTATCATTCAAGATGGAAACAGCTGGTCAACAAGTCATATTTCCTTGGGGAAAATCAAAGTTTTGGAATACATGTAAACCACAAGAACTGGTGTTAAGGAGGAACTGCACACTGAGAGGAGTTGCTAAATCATTAGTCTGTGCACACTATGGAAATACCAAAGTCAGGGTTGYTACCTTGCATCCTACAGGAGGTGAAGTACATGAGGGATTGAAGCACAAGAATCATGGTATAGATGATAGATATATACCTTATCCATGTTGAATGTAGCAGAAACATGTGGGCCCTTGAGCTTTCCTTGGCTACATAATTCCAATGCCTTATCTACTGAATCTCTGAATACAGAAGGATTAAACTTGCTGTGTGCACCCTGGGAAGAAATTGTGCATTTTAAGCATTAGATTGAAGGAAAAAAGATCATTGCTCAAGGAGACCAAAAAGGACCTGGGGAAGGACAGTGGAACAGATCTGGAGAGGAAGAAGGCTTGCTGGAGTGATAAGTACAGACAGAGCAACAACAGTGGTGAAGGATAAACTGAAATGGATAAAGAATGTTAAGGCCTCATGTGACTCATGATGCTGCAAGAATCAATGACGATAAAGCATTGAATGACAACAAAGATTGAGTGACGTGGACAATCTGCCCATACTGTATGAAATATGAGGGTGTTACTTACCCAATATAACCCAGCTGGAAGAAAATAAGAAAGTAATATTATTGTCAATAATATATGCACACAAATGTGGCTTTCAATATGTTTTTGTTTAATTACTCAAATTCACGTGTCCAAGGGCCAAAAAATGCAGTGGTTACACTTACCCACATTACAATTCTTTACAAGGAGAATATTAGCTGGGATCTAAGTGAAAATAGTGAGAAAAATAACTATATTTTTCCTGGCTTGACTAAAAATTGTAAACCAGACTCTTAATAATTACCTGTGGAATGTTACCAGAAGCAAAACCTGCAGGAATTATAGTTCCATCCCATGCAATACTAACCAAGAAAAGAAAAATGCATTAGATTAGGATTATCAAGTCTTCATGGTGATACAACTTGTGTGTCTGGTTTTCCATTTTCTTTTCTCTCATACCAGGATCTTGTACTTGCATTTATGCATTTATTGCTATTGTACCTCATTGTATAATGTTTTACAACATTCTCTTAGTCTTAATTACTATTTTCATTGCTAAGTGATGTTTGAGACAAACTAATTCTTTTTTTTATTGACTGTTAGTAGCCTATTTACTAAGCATTTTTAACATCTCTGTCTTTGGCTTGGAAGATTTTGCTACTTTCCTATATTTTTTAAATAGAAATAATTATTGACAAATTAACCTGTTGCAACTTTGTCTCAATCAGCAAGTAACAAAAACAGTGATTTAATTATGATTTAGTAGTAAGCATCTGACCATTTTAAGCATTCTTTAAAAACATCCCCACCAACGGCATCCAGAATGACATTAGCACCACGCCCACCTGTGAGCTTCTTGACCTACAAAAGATCAATAAACCAATAACTAATAATAAATATAAATGGGGCTTGAACTTGAGGCTGGGACCATGTTGTCACATTGCTTGCACTTGCTTTGCTTGGCTGCTCAAAGTCTTTCGATAAAATCATAAGATGTGCATATAATTGTATTTTATTGTATATTATCGTTATCTTCCAATAGTCTTGTAAACTAATTACCTTGTCCTTGATGCTTTCTGTTCTATAATCAATAGTAGCCATAGCTCCAAAATTCCCCACAATGGTTAACTTGTCAGCACTTGCTGCTCCAATTGCCTTAAAATTTAAAGTTAAAAGAAAAATTAGTGGTACTAGTAGATAGAGAATCAGTGCACTAGTTCCTGGACTTGGGTTTTCCTCCCTGCATTATATAAAACCTAATAAATTGACCCTAAATACCAAATGTGTTAAGTAAATTCGTCGTTCCTTGATTAGCCCAAGGTTGTTCAAGGTATCCATAAAATTTGAAGGTATATTAGATAAGTAAATTATAAAATTATCTACCATATATTCATTGACATCTTAAAAATTCATTGTAAACAGCATCTCACCTTGGCCCCAAGTGCATTTACAGCAATGTCTACTGTAGCTAATCCAAGAGCTCCAGCAGCTGCAGTTACGAGAACTGTTTGCCTATATTGTACAAAAACAAGCTTATCAACTTTATGATTTATTTTTTTCCAAAGATTTTCCCCTCCCAGAAATTGACCCAAAACATTTCATATCAGATTACGGCAATAGATAAACTCATTTTGTTTTCTCTATAAAAGCACTGTGACTTACCCAGGTTTTACATTTGCTTTGCGAGTTAAACCAACATAGGCTGTTCCATAAGAAACTGGTAGTGCTGCTGCTTTGTCAAATGATAAACTTGAGGGGATTTTCCAAAGTGCCTTGAAATCAGTAAAATGTGCTTCAATATTTGTCAGACTACATAATTTGCAAAAGTCTTAGGGCTAAAAATGGCATGCATTTCTTATTGGCACAATGCAATTTACAGTGGTGGTTCTGTTATGATGCAGCATTTTAAGTTACTCTTCCACAAAGTAAAATCAAGGGTGATTTCAAAGTTATCCACAATTACCTCTTGCTGGACAGTAACCTCTTTAGACCATCCACCCAAACTTGTGACACCCAGTACATGATCACCCTGCAAAACAATTATCTATTTCATCCATTTTCTAAATATTAATGTGACCAACGCAGCCCCTGATCATGATCTCTAGGTATTGATGACTCGTAAAACTCCAGTGTATGCAGGCTAAGCCTTGAATCCAGGAGTTGCTTGTTTTGTTTCTGCTTTTGTTTTCCGATCTCAGAAGTGAAGCTAAGCCTGCATGACTGGAGTTTTAAGAGTCATAAATTTGGCTTATGTCAATCGAAAAAATACTCAGACTATTGGAAATTTGTTTGCCTGATGCCAACTGGTATTAAACCAAAGACATCATTTATAGCTAGTTTCTGTGCTGCATTATTATGAAAATGGGTGTATAAGGAGAAAACTCACACGTACATCATGGCCTTTTCAATTAAATGAATGGTTGAACTAATCATGAAGAAAAGTACTAGCCTTGCAAAGGCGCAATATGTCAATAAAACATTTTATTTTTCATGCACGCAAGACTTCTGTATATGATTTATAGTACATTTATGCAAAAGGACTATCGAATTAGGTTTCCTAAGTGTACCTTTGTCACCATGGTAACATTGTCTCCTATGTCTATTACTTCTCCTGCTATCTCACTTCCTGAAACAAAATCATTACATCTGGTAAATTACATTTTACTTCCACCTTCTGATCTATTTAACAACTGTGGCAAAAAGCAAATTTATCCTACCAGGAACAAATGGTAATTCTGGTTTTTCTTGGTATTTTCCCATGCACATGAGAATGTCGGCAAAATTAATTCCACAGCTGTGAACAGCTACTCGCACCTATCATTAGAAACTTCAGTTTAGTCACTATATATATATATATATCATCATTAGCTAAGGATGCTGACACACGGTGCAACATTGCACGCAATAATTCAAGCAACAAATTTGAATCTGGGTGACAAACATTGCAACAAAATCACGCAACATCGCTTGTGTCAGCCTGCTATGTTAAGATAGGTGGTCAGCAGTTATAAATTTGGTGCAAGCTGATTGTCTGGAAGTTTCAAAATGTTGCAGCCATGTTCACATGAAATTTGTTGTGCGCAATGTTGCAAGAGTAGAGCAAGATTCAACTTCAGATTTATTGCATGCAACAGCCATGATTGGGGGTATTATCAAACTAAGGAAGCTAACAAGAAATTTTGAAATACCACCACAGGTATATGTTGCAAAGAACTGACACTTGTGGCAAAGGGTTAGGGGCTTTTGCAATATATGTTTTGCCATGTCCAAGTCTTCCGGTACCCCTTCACGAAGCCCATTTTTTCTATTTTTGTATGCCCTTAATCCCGCTACCACCCCCACCATTACTACCACATAACATCCTCCCATCATCACCACCATAACATACACTTCTCTAAATATACACCAAGGACGTGTGTGGCAAAACAGTGTTTATAGTCAAAAGCAGAACAGACTGTATGCAAGTAAGAGAGGTAATTAGGATGTTTTAGATATATTATCGCTAGCTAGGACTTGAGAGGAGATAATTAAGCTTAACTAACCTGTGAATCTCTTAATTTTTGCACTACAGGAAAATCCTCCACGACTAGAGGTTTGCCCAATTCTTTGCACACAGCCGCCCTATACATCCTTGTGCTTGTTCGACATAATGCAGGCATTAACGGCTGCGATGTTCTTGCTGTAGCTGCTCGTGCTAGGGGCCTCAGAAGTCGTTCTGGAGGACAACGAAACGCCGCCATCTTGGATTCGTGTTTATGACGGGGTGAAACTGCTAACAATGAATCTTGCAGGCTCATCAAGGTTAGTGTCAGCCAATCAGAGCACACATTCAAAAAGATTTTGGGATTTTTTCCCACGAAATATTTGTCAAATTTTGAATCATTTTCGCGGCACTTCTCGATTCACCAAAAGAGAATTCTAAAAACAAACGAAGATGACAGTATTTTTTATGGTTTTCCGGAAATTCATAACTGTTTTATTACTTTTCTTTCTTGATTGTGCAAACAATTCAAAATTTAAGTTTAATTTGAATTTAATTTAGTTAATTAAATTATTTAATTTGATTGAAATTAAATTAATTTTAAATTCAAAATTTAAATTTTTTAATTAGTATAGGGAATCGCATGATCTCGAGTACAATTCGGAATTTATAGGTACCATGAGTTGTTTTGAAAGTTTTCGAAATTGGACGAGCTTTAGGAGAGTCTAATTTGAGAACTTTCAATACATCACGAGTATCTATAATCTATAATTCCGAATTGTACGAAAAGAAGATCAAAAAAATTGAGCAACTTATTGGGACTTTACAGAGCCGACAATAGCGCAGCGCAACCGTGACGGCATAAAATTGAAGACAAAGGCGAAATTCAGACAAACAAACTTACAAGTTTACTTTCAATAGATAATTTTCACAGCCGATCGCAGTTAATCTTAGTTTACATGGGTTATTATTGTAACTTTAAGAAAAATAAAAAATCGGTTCGTATAATCCTCGTAGCGGTTAAACAGAATGCAATGTTTGTCCGAATCTTTAAGCTATTCTTAGAATCAGTGCGCTGCGCTGTTTGGGATTTCATTGTACTCCTCTTGTCCAATCAGGATCGAGTAATTTTGTGGAGTGTATTATTAAAGAAATGATTTTTCTTAGATATTTATGATATTTAATCAGTTAATTGATTATTAGCAATTATTGTTAATTAATTCAGATACATTAGTTTCGTCATCAAAACCTTCGCGCACGATTGATTGATCTCTCGTAAACAAGTCGCAAGGCTCGCGCTTTTTTGTTTCTTGAACCGAACTCGCTCGCGTAATGTAGAGCGAGCTGTCAACGGTAACTTCTACAATAACAGCCAAGCTCCACTGTGCGTCATTTTTTTTWAAACAACGCTGTTTTGATAATTGCAAGTTCGTTTTCACGAGGAGTTTATCAGAATGGGTTGTGGTGCGTCTAAAGGTACATTATTTCTTGCTTAGCCATTGTTTATTTAGAACGTAATAATCGTGCAGCTTTGCGAAAAAGCAAAAAAAAGCTTCACCCCAAATCTATCAAATAGAAAAACCTTAGGAAAACAAAGTTTTTGGAAATTTGTTGTTCGCAATACTAGGGTATTCCTAATCGGGACAAAGAAGGATTAGACTATATTCTAGAGTGATTTTACTCTTTATTTTATTTCTCTTATTGTTCATTCGAATCATGCAAATGTTTGTCGAACCACGCTATAGAATATAAC